GTCCAATGGTGGATATACACGCGTGCTGGGGTCCTTCGTATGCGTGTACCAACCGCGTGAGTTTATAGATGCGAGCCGATGTAAGTAAGACAGACGATCCGTTTCGTTAGAGGGTGTCGCGGGGTTACCCACCTGTATCAAACTCCGCCACCTACCTCACCCTCCGGGGCCCGTCCTTTTTCGTCTTTCCGTTTCGTCTCCTCGCTTCTTTTGAGCTTCTTTCTTGTTTTTCGGCCGGCCATTTATACCTCGCCCCATTTGCATCGACCACCATCGGCTTGTATACGCCTTGTATACGCTGACGTTTCGTATGAATTGGATAAACGATAAACGTGGGGAGCATTGGCTGAAGCAACCCTTTAGGAAGGGTGTATTTCTCCCTTCAGGAATACGATTGGACGTGTAGGGTTGGTAAGTGATTGGAAATTTTTTTTAATAACAAATGAGAAAAATCATTTCGTATCGCAATCCAATGTGACGTGGAAGAAATCAATGGAAGAAAACCGCAAATTCTTTTTCGCGAGACACACAAAAAGAGACACCTATGAAGGAGGCCAAAAGTGAATCAGAAGGAAGAAGGTATAGGTGGAAATGTTGGGACGGAAGAGAACAACAAGAAGGAAGAAGGAGACGACCCATGGTGGCGTCGACTGCTCGAGGGGAAGAGAGATGAGGGGAGAAAGAAAGAGAGAAAGATATATGGAGCCGCGAGGTGTCGCCTTACAACCGGCTCGGTTCGCTTACCTACGAAGCCTCTTTTGCATGCCATCTCCTCCACCATCTTGCCTCGCGTTGCTCCTTTTGCGCTCCGTTCCTTGGAACGTCCTCCTCTTCTTTCTCTTTAGCTCCTCCGTTCGCGCTGGTCCGCCTTGCTCGCTTGGCCGCGATGCACCGTTGCATTCGGTCTTTGCATAATTATTACAGTTACCACGAGTAGCAGCTGGCTTGTCGTTGTAGAAGAGAGCCACCTTGTCTCTCCGTTCGCCACTGCCACTAACCCGGTAAACGTTGTCCTCTCGCGCCCAGGCCCTACTCAAGCGAGACGCCATGTCCGCCATAGTAGAACGAGGAACGCCACTTCTCGATTCGCGTGTACACGTTAATTAAATTTTATCCAGCTTCGCACGCGATTCCTTGGTCGCCGTTTCTTCCTTTTCGAAGGCTGGCCAATAGTTTTTAATATCGGGTATAGTTTGACGTGTGCTCCTCGTATGGAACAAGTGGCCGTTCGAGTCGAGTTTATTCAGCTTCTCTCGAAAGCCATTTTGAAAGGCGTTTCATGTAGCGTTTTTCGGTGAAGTTATGGAAGCGAAGCAGGCTCTTTTATTAGATTCTACTTGAACAAGTTCTAGGATCCTCGGGAGCTAACAGCTGCTAGAAACGAAATTCGATCCTCGTCGTATCTTTATTCGTTTTTAACGACGGTCGTTAGAGAATGACGAAGCTAGAATGACAGCTAGCGAGAGACGAAGAAGGATTGAAAACACAAACGCTTGAAAAAGTTTATGATGATTGGTTTCGTTGTCAAATTATTCGCTTCGCTGGCTTCAAAAGAGATTAATCCCCTCTCCCAGTGTTGTGGAAAGTATATCCACACAAGAGGTCGAACATATAACGAATAAATTCAACGATTGGTGGATGGCTTCGTCTTATTTACCAATGGTATATTTCCACTAGTTTCCCGTTGAAACGCGGGTTCAAGACGCAGTAAGTTCGCTCGTTTCTTTCTCGCGTGTCTCGACCTCTGGAAAGTATCGTTCAACGCGACGCAGAAAATAATGCTGTACATTTAAATGAGCCGCCCCTCTCCCTTACCATATGGGAATACCATAGCACGGAATAGTTAGTCTTGACTACTGATTGATGAACGAGGACGTGAGTTATGGACGACCTTCGCGCGATTTCGTCAACGTTCCAGCCGATGTATCCGTACGGACTACTAATTCACGGCCTGTGGCTAATCGTTCTTGCAACATTCCATATTCTCCGGCTCGGGTATGGTAACCCGTAAGTTGGAACAAAGGCAAAAAAAGAAGAAAAAGGGAGGGGGCTCCACATTCTCGAAACCAGAGGGAGACCTCGCATTACGAAGGGAAGTGTATCGCTACAAATTATAAAGGACGGACACAATTACCGCGGCAACGTAATTTTCAACGGGTTCCAACAAAATACGTACGTTCACGTAAAACTTCGCCTCGTGGCCGCTCTCGTTTCCCGTCGAACGATCTCGAATGCGATGTTACACGCGTTCACGCCCATCGTTTTGAGCGAATTATTACATCGATCCCAGACCAGATAGCGCAGTTACACAGAGATGGCCGAGACATGGCCAGGTAATCACAGGGACAAGCAAATACGGCATTAACCTTTAGAGGAGAGCCACTATAGTCGCGTTCGAGCCTTGACGAGAACTTGTAAGAAATAGCTCTTATCCATATACATATATTTATGGTACATAATAACATTCAGTATATACATACATACATATATATATATATATATATATATACATGATATTTTTACGTATCAATTTTTGTGTTTGTTTTGACTAAAGATATCACCGTAAAAATTTATGCATTTATGGAAAACGCAAATGCAAAAAGATATTCGAAATAGATCTTTGTTTTATTTCTATAATTAAATTCAAGCAACGAACCTTTTATCCTGTTAACGTCTTATAATATTTCATTTGCGGGTCTGTTGAAGGTTAAGGACGATCGAATCGCACGGCCAGGATAAACGTGTGTCCCTTTATCCCTTCAGTGTCGGATGGCGGTGTTTCGCGCGTGGGAGCAAAGTCGCCACCTTGCCCGCGGCGCGGCACCACGCTTATTCAAAAGTGGCTGCACGTAAAGCCGATATCTTATTCTCGAATGCTCCATTCGTTCTTCTTATGGTATATCCTGCTGGCTGCCGGCGACATTCTTGTCCGCGTCGCGTAACTTCTACCCTGCCACCCCTTCCCTCGCTTCTTCCCTCCCCCTCCTCCCTTTTGCCTATCCTGCTGCTGTTGCACCGTTTCGCCTGATCGCGATTGCGCCGCGGTAACGACAAGTTTACCTCGATAGGCTGAACGTACGCCGAGAAACGCGTGGAATAACGATCCCCACCCCCCCCTTTTCCGCCGTGAGAGAATCTCGCGGGACGAATGTCGCTGCGTGTTGCCCCCCCGATCCTCGACATCATGAGTCTCTCGATCGCTTCCTAGTTCAATTCCTAGATAGATCTTTTGATGAATCGATGATATTTTACATTTAAGAGATATTTCTAGAAATTATCCTAATGGTATCATTTCTCATGTAAATTCAAGACGAGCATCCTAGACGGAAAAATATAGAAATTTTTCAAGAAATCTTCGATGATTTCTGTGTACTACTCCTAGTTTATATTCAAGGATTTTACGAGCTCTAAGTAGAAGCTTCCGAAAATTCCTCGATTTCTCCTGCACTCTTTCTCTCGAAACGGGGAGACAACAAGCTCCACGTGGTCCCCTCCGTGTTCGTTAGCCCTGCTTCTACATAACTTATTAATTACGGTTGACTAATGCTCTCCAGCTGTGGCACAGCCTTACGCTTCGCGCCACCAACCTTACTTACCTCTTCCCTTCTTTCCTCCCAACTTTCTCTCCGGCATTTTCTCCACCGGAACAGCCCTTAACGGAGGGGCACGAGAGAGCGGGACGAGAATAGTAATGGGCAAGAGGGGGAGGGGAGCGAGGAAGAATGAAGGTCGGATGACGAGAGAGAGAGAGAGAGAGAGAGAGAAGGGGATTGGAGTGGGAAAGAGACGCGCAGAAGAAGAAGAAGAAAGGTGGGACAGTGGAAGAGAGTACAGGGACGCTTAGGCAGTAACTCACGCCCCCGAGAGGATTACCTCTACCTTGGCAAGCCTCTGGAGGGAGGGTGTACCCCAACGGTTGAGCTACGATCTTGCTGCGTAGCTACGCGTTCCTCATACCGAGCGTCCCCGGGACTCTCGTGCCTCGCAAACGGAGAGTCTCCGCCGCGGCCGTGAACGCTCGCGTTTCGGGAGGGACGTATACCGGAAGCTTAGGGAACTTACGACACAGCCGCGGGCTTCGAACTGGCACTCGAGACGGTCCGCGCTCGTCGGGGCTGACCTTCCTCGTTGGCATCGTGTTTCCAACGACCGGACGGTGGAAGGCCTTCTAATTACGTTTACGATTTACACGGTCAACTTGCCCTTCATTTGACCGGCTAGAATTCCTCGCGTCGCCTGTGTTTCTTCTTCTTAAATTAAGTGTTCGCTTCGGCTGATTATTTAGATTATTTTTTTTTTTTTTGTAGCTTGGAATTGAGATTATTTTGAATCGTAGTATTGGTGAATACTTAGTTGTTGTCAGGTTTCTGTAGGCGATTTTTAAAATTTGATCTCTTTCGCTTAGAAAAGAGTTTTAATGTGTAGATTGAAGATTTTAATTATTCTAAAAAAAAGTTTTTGGAATTAGTTTGAAGTAGTTATAATATGGATTGTATTTTTAAAAATCTGAGTAAATATGGAAGACCCTTAAGGATATTATAGGATTGAAAAATAGATTTTTGCAAAATAGATAATTGCAAAGAAATATTTTTAACTGGTACAAACTGATATCGCTTGATCAAGAAATAAACATTTCTTAATAATAGTAGTTATATAAAGGAATAGTGCCTGAAATTAATGGTTTGGGGTTCGACAAAATGTGCAACATATGAAAGGTTCCTGAACCTATTAACTTTAATACCACAACTATCAACCTATAACGTATATACCTCAACATACTGATATACCATTATAATTATAAAGATAATTACAATTACAACGATAAAGCATTAATTTTATCAAAAATGCCTCTCTATATCTTTAATAATTTCAAAAAAAAAAAAACATCAATTAAATAATTCTAAAAATGTGAGTAGATCAAAACTCTACAAAACTTTACAATTGATATTGCTTCATTGTGATTTACGTTTAGATTAAAATTGGTCGTGTTTAAATTAATCTCGAATCCTAGCAACAAGAAACACCAGAGGGCTTTTTCGATTAATTGCGGCCATCGGTAACTAACCTCGAAGGTTGCAACCCTCGCCTCAAGGGGTTGGGTCCACGAGAGAAGAATCTCTCGGGGTGTTTCGCGGGAATCCTTCATGCTCTCAGGCCAATTCACTTACTTTGATTTGATTGACCCCCGTGTATGATCCGTGCACGGTCCAAGGGATCGAGGGAACGAAGGGTGGTGGCGGATGCCGTCGTCTCGTGTTTTGCGAACCGTGGATTGTATCCCTGGCAGCAATCAACGTATTGGTTGTTCTTATTAGAGTTGGCACGGACGAGGTCTCTTCCTTGTTTATGCTCCACGTCGAAAGTTTCCAATAAGGGATGGAAGGCCCTTACCCCATGGCCGCCGTTCTAAACGAGCCGAGAGAATTGGAATTTGCTTGCGAAATTTTCTTCGTGAATGATTTCCATTTTTCTTAAAGAAGTTGGTATGGTAGAGATATATGGTCGTTAATTATCTTGTTATATTTAATTGGTCGGGTTTCTAATAATAATTTTGTCATTCTTCATTCTGTAAAAATGTGTTACTAAATGTCGATGTACAATTTTCTATTTTTAATGAAATTTTCTGAATACTTAAAATATTATTCAACGCTCAAAGTTTTAATTAAATATTTAATATATTATCGAAATTATATTAAACGACGAAATTTTGCAAATTTTGATTTTTCCTCCTCGAAAAAAAGATTTCCCTTTATTATATTTCACAAACATATTTTCATTAAAAAAATCAAAATTTTTCGCTATAAAATAACGTTCAAATAAAACGTATAAAAAATAATCCCAATTATTTTTTATATAAAATTAAATATTAACTTGTACAATAAATCGACCATCCTATCTACAATACCCCGACCTCTCCTAAAACGCCCG